CTGCGGCAGGGTGGGGATGAGGAGAAAGAGGCGGCGGCTCCGCTCTGCCCCTCGTTGTTACGCCAGGACTTCGCCGCCACATGCTTCTCCGTGGCCCCCGCTCGCCTCAGCGGCTCCCCGGCCGCTCCCCTCAGCGGCTGAAGTGCTCGGCCTCTGGTGTCAAAATGCCGCGTCTGTAAATGGTCACCAGGATCTCGACCCTGGCGGTCCGGCGCGGCTCGGCTTGGCCCAGCAGTGGCAGGGCCCGTAGAGGAAGCGTGTGTCTGCCTCTCTCTTGCGGAGCTCCCTCACCCACCTCAAGTGCTGTGCAAAACAGCATCGGCCACCAGCTTTAAAAACAGTGGGGTAGTGGATGGCCTTTTTCCTCCCCTCTCTGCTGCTTCTCCCCACATTGTTCATTTGGTGGGCCGAGAGTTCGCCTGCGATGTTGAGCCCTGTCGAGGTAGAAGAGACCTGCTGGAGCGGTCTTGGCACAGTCACCCCTGACCTGCGGCAAAGCGTTGTGCCAGAGAGACAAGGCCAAAACCGCGCCAGGTTTCAGCGTGCTGACAACCAGAGAGGACGGGCAATCGCGTGCCAGCTCAGATCCGTGCCTGGGCTTTGTTTTGTGTGCCTCTATAAACATGACCTCTCAGTTGCTTCCGAGAGTTGCGCTGTGACAATGTCACAGCAATCAGAGTTAGTAAACTGTCATTAGTCTAGAAATTACACACGAGTCTCCGGCTGTGTTCAGGTACTAACTTGATATAAAAGTCCTGGGCTCCGCGTATTCTCTCATCACTGGAAGGGATTTTTATTATATATTGTGTTATTATCTAACAAAGAAGGCACTGTTAACACTTCAGCTGCACGCTGATAAAAAGGAACAAGCTGTACTCTAGTTTCAAAGGAAGTGACTTGCATGTTGATTCAGGTGAAAGTGCCCGGCTGTACATCTAAAGTGGAGCTAAAACCCTGCCTTGACAAAAAATCTCCCCCTTGATGCTTCCCTGGTGGCTAATTTAGACAGGTTCCCTGCTCCAGGGAAAGTGCCACTCAGAGGCAGGTGTGCAGCTCTTGGCACACACTGTCCGGAGAGGTTAGACACAGGGCTGCTGTTCAGAGCACCGCTTCTGTGCTCAGATGCCCTGAATTACCCTAGGAGCAGCCAACTTTAGCTTGTAATACCACATTCACTATTACTATGTAATGGTGTGTGTAAAGCCTGTTATTTAAAAAAAATCCAGTAGTGGAGCAATAAGCTCCTGTTGTAAACAAAAAACTGACAAGGACACCACCACCCCCAAACTAAACAACCTTACCACCTGCAGAAGGCAGCCCATCATGTTTTCTAGCATTTGTGGGCTTTTTGCTAAATTTATGATAGCCAGAAAAGCAGATTGCTCGGTTCCCATTTTTCTCCCAAGTCACTCTTCCTTCTTTGCATGAATTCAATGAATGGGAAAAACTGCCCAGCTCATACTGACATCCAGGATTAGTATTGATAGAGATTTAAAATTATCTAAACAACAGTGATGAGGATCTGATTGAAGACTAAAAAAAGAAAGATAACAAGTAATTGTCTCAGCAGTCCAGTAGTCCGCATTCAGTTTATACTGTGAAATCCTTTACGAGAGGGAAAAAGAATAGGCGGTGTGCAGATGGATTAAAACTGGACTGTGCAGAGCGCTAATGAAGAAATAAAGGTGCAGTGTGACTATCTACAGCTTCCCATCTCCATGCTGTTAGTGCTACTGAATAGACCAGGATGCTACATGAGAGCAACGAGAGAAGAAGGTGTAGAGAGATGTTTCCTTTCTGACGCTGACTGTGCATTAGGGGAAGGATGCAGAATGTCGAGATCTACGTGGGCTTTACCCAGTCGATAAGGCATGATATCCAAAGCAGCTGACAGGTTTTCAAGAATCGCTGTGGACATCTGATCTTTAAAAGAAGTCATGTCATTACAAAGTAGTATAATTAATAAAGTTCTTAATGCCATGCAGACGCAGAATGGGCAGGGTGAAGAAGTGGAAAGAATAAATTAGTCAGGTGTGTTACAAAAGTATTCCAACAGAAATAGGACAAGGTCTCATGATGCTATGAATAACATGATTTAATATAATAAGTGGAGGAAACAGACAGAAGGCAAGACTTGTCAGGATCATAGTTAACTCTAGAATTGGAAGCAAAACTGAGTCTATTACTAGTTCACTTCTCTGAAAGAGGCTTGTATAACCATACCAAAGTTTCAAAGCTCATGGGTAGGCTGTTTCTCTAAGGGTCGACTGAAGATTGCGATGATGCTAGGGGATTACTACTTTGCAGCTTCACTGACACATAGCTCTACACTGAAGTACAGCAAGTTTTTTGTTACACAAGATCTTAATTCTGAGAAGGAAGATAAAACACCTCCTTTTCCTGTCTTATGCTTTTAATCAAGGTAACGAGATGGCAGTATAACTTACACTTGCAGGGTATGCTAGATAAAGTGACTACCTAGTGACCTACCTACCTAAAAGCTCAGTTTTATATAGGAAACACTTGATTCAGGTCACATCAACTTTTGCTTTAAAAGCTTATGTGGGGAACCCACAAAGGTGCACACCAAAGCCACTCTATCACTCGCCTTCCTCAGCTGGACAGGGGAGAGAAAATACAACAAAAGGCTTGTGAGTCGAGATAAGGACAGGGAGAGATCCCTCACCAATTACTGTCACGGGCAAAACAGACTTGGGGAAATTAGTTTAATTTATTACCAATCAAATCAGAGTAGGATAGTGAGAAATAAAACCAAATCTTAAAAACACTTTCCCCCCACCCTTCCCTTCTTCCCAAGGCTTAACTTCACAACTGATTTTCTTTACCCCCAGCAGTGCAGGGGGACGGGGAATGGGGGTTGGGGTCAATTCGTCACATGTTGTCTCTGCCGCTCCTTCCTCTGCAGGGGGAGGACTCCTCACTCGTCCCCTGCTCCACCACGGGGTCCCTCCCACGGGAGACAGTCCTCCACAAATTTCTCCAATGTACGTCCTTCCCACAGGCTGCAGTTCTTCATGAACTACTCCAGTGAGGGTCCCTTCCATGGGCTGCAGTCCTTCAGTAGCACACTGCTCCAGCGTGGGTCCCCCGCAGGGTCACAAGTCCTGCCAGAAAACCTGCTCCAGCGTGGGCTCCTCTCTCCACGGGGCCACAGGTCCTGCCAGGAGCCTGCTCCAGTGCGGGCTTCCCATGGGGTCACAGCCTCCTTCGGGAGCCCACCTGCTCTGGCGTGAGGCCCTCCCCAGGCTGCAGGTGGAGATCTGCTCCCCCGTGGACCTGTCTGGGCTGCAGGGGGACAGCCTGCCTCACCATCATCTTCCCCACGGGCTGCAGGGGAATCTGCTCCGGCGCCTGGAGCACCCCCTCCCCCTCCTTCTGCACTGACCTGGGGGTCTGCAGGGCTGTTTCTTTCACATATTCTCACTCCTCTCTCTGGCTGCTGTTGTGCAGGTTTTTTGCCCCCTTCTTAAATACATTATCCCAAAGGCGCTACCACCGTTGCTGATAGGCTTAGCCTTGGCCAGCAGCGGGTCCATCTTGGAGCCAGCTGGCATTGGCTCTGCCGGACATGGGAGAAGCTTCTAGCAGCTTCTCACAGAAGCTACCCCTGCAGTCCCCCCACTACTAAAACCTTGCCACACAAACCCCATACACCACATTATGGTTAAACATGTTTCAAGCTAAAATATTTATCAAAGAAGATTAAAATGCTTAGCTAATGTGTACATTACATGCATTAACGTGGGACAAAGTAATCAGCTAACATTTATAGTGAGCTTAAGTAAAAATGTCCTACAGACACATGCCGTTACTTAATTGATGAGTGTATTTTTTGTATACATATATTAAGTCCTATTTTTTTCTGCAGACTCTTTGTTATAAACACAGAAATGGCTGCCAAGAAAGCATGTCAATAAATTAATAAACAAGTTTTGCTTCTAGTTGGGGGGGGGGGAACACAGGACCCCTTATAAGCTGAATAAGGGGGGGCAGTGAAACACGGCTGAATTTATAGTGCAATGGGTTGAGAGGAACGCTTGGTATCAGGCCATGGCTCAATGACCACTCTCATTCAACATGGCGCCACCATGTTTCCACCAAAACAGGGGGGCTTGCTCTCCTCTCTTTTCCCTTAGCTGCTCATTCCCAATACCTCAGCTGTGGTAGCACAAGCGCTCGTGCAAGCTTTGATTTGGCAAAAATTGGCTAGAGTTCTATATTGGATCAGCTTATTCTATGGTGGCTACACAGGGTTACTGTGTCTAACTGTGGCATTGACTACAAGTGCTAAACCATTTATGAAACCCACTCAAAGTCCTGTCCACGTATATATTTACATTATTCTGTATTCAGATGAGGAGAGCTTTTGTGACTGGGCCCTTCAGCTTTGCAGGTGGGGACTAATGTTTCACTTCTTGGTGAGTCTTCACACTCACTTCACAAAACTGTGAGCTACAGAGCCTGAAATGTCCCCTCTGCCCTGGGCTTGCTAAAAAACCCCACAAATCCACCAGTGCTACAGCAACCAGAGAGCAAGTACCATGAAGCAACACAGGTATTGCTTAGCCTAGCGGTGCTAAATGCCACAGTAGTAAAAATGCAATCTGTCACATGAGGAAAGGGATCCATCTCTCCTGCCATTGCAGCACAACGGCAAGGAAAAATCAGCAATGGAGGTGCAGCAGTAGGGCTGGCTGATCACATGCAGCCTCAGTTTTACCAAGTGGGAGAAAAAGCAATGAAAGTAATGCATATGGTACTCAGTGGACTTCAAAAATCTTTTTTTTTTTTTTTCTTTCAGTTTGAATCTGAGCTCTGCATGTTGGTCATGACAGCAGGAGAGTTACTGTTCGGTCCTTGCATGTAAATCAGATGTATGAATCTGTTCAACCAGAGAATTAATGAGTGTAACAGAAGGTCTTTTCTTTCCCCATCACTTACTGCTCATTGCTCCTTTAGTATGCGTTGCCCAAAGAAGACTACGAGTAATATACATGTGTAAACCTGTAAGGAATAAGGAATCCATCTGCTGTAGAAAACCATAATTAAAAGAAAAGCTAACCAAGAGCAATGAAATAAAAATATCCCAGGCAGGAAGGAGTGAAAAGCCCGAGAGTCTCAGTGGGAACCTTTACAGAGATAATTAATGTAAATAATCTTGATCTGAGAAAATCAGACGTAAGCATTTTGTAAGCAAGAGTAATACGAAGTCTCATGAATATGTTGGAAGAAGCAAGAAAAATGCAGTAATTATATTCTGCTGCAAGCCCGACCAAATTTTTTCTGTATTCCACCCAGGCCTGTCAAATGCATAAGCTCTTTGTTTGTTGTTTTGGTTTTTTTTTGAAAGAGAGATGTCATCCAACTGATACACACAGTCGTCTTGAACCCATTTGCTGTTTTTGCAATGGCAGGCAAAATTAACGTCATTGTTTTGCATTCTTGGCATTTTACTAGGCCACCCTTGTAAATCTGAACACAGCGCCCTGCGGCTCTAGCATCTTGAGATTGGCTTTGTCACAATATGTCTGTACTAGAGGTACAGGGGAAGTCCAGCAGCTGAAAATGCAGCAGCATATATGCACTGGGCTGTTTCTGGAGGCGGTCATACCTCTGCCCCCATCTTCTGTACTTTGATCTCGTCAGGAGCTCAGCCGAGGCACCGAATTCGGCACATACCCAGACGTCCTGGCTTTGGTCTCCACGTACATGACGCTCCCGATACCAGGGTATGTGACAGAAGGTTGCAGCTGGCAACAGTTTGAACGTTAACCTGCTTGGACAAGGTGGTTGTCCTTACTTCAGAGGCCGCCACTGAACAGGGCTCAGCTGGAACATGCTTACTGGGGGCTCCTGATTTAAATAGCAGGATGAGGACCACTTCAATGACCTTCTTCAGCTCTAGATTTTTGGATGTACTAAATACGTCGAAGCCCCTGCCACCGGGCCGTGACAGCCCCTCCTGGGGTGCTTGTGGAGCCCAGAAGGGGAAGCGGGGACAGCGCAGCAGGTCGCAGGGGACGTTCGCTCGTCCCTCTTAACGACTCGTTAGGGACGGCGAGGCCGCCGGGGCCGACCACGGGACTGGGGCCGTTCCTGGGGCTGGCGGGGGACTTCAGCTGAGGCACCTGTGAGGTTTCACTCGCCTTTTAGTGACTGGGGCTTGCAGAATGAGGAGTTTGTGTGCGCTGCTGTGACCTCATACATCTCGTGCCCAAGCCCCTCCCTCCCTCAAAAACAGAAAAACCCCCAAAGCCGATTTGGATGGCTTTTACGATACAGTTATTAGGAGGGGGCGGCGGGAGGCCGGCACCAAACCCCCAAGAACCCGCCAGGCCCCGGGCCTTCCCAGCGCTTTTGGCCTCTCCCGCGGCTCGTAGGGAAGCCCTCGGCGCGCTCCCTGCCGTTCGCCCG